ATTGATAGAATGGATGATAGAGCTGTTAGGAGAAATGCTGAAAACTGGGAACAAGAAATTAAGAGACAAACGGAAGGAAAAAGAAAATGGAGCTGTTTAATGAACATAAATGTATTAAGTGTTTTTACAAAAAAAAATTTAATTAAATTGTCTTTTTATTCCAAACAATGTATACAGAAACAGAGGAAGAAATACTTGGTGATTTAAATGCACTGACTTGGAAAGTTATTTGGCAAAGGAAGAAAGCTAGAGTAAGACTGAAGAAAATAGAGGTCCTGACTAATTAGATGAGGTATTATACTATCTAATGGATGTTTGAATATGACTAAAAGAATAGACAATTGTTAGAAATAAAAGGACCACTATAAACTAGAAGGATGTGATTTGTAACTAGGATAACATACTTTTCTATAAGATGGGAAATATGAAAATATTAAGAGGCTCAGTATAAGGGAAGCTTTTAATTACCCAAATGTAATTAACTATGAGAAAAATGATAATTGATAAAGTTATTTTGAATATTGATGGGAAATCAAAATTGAAAATAAAAGAGAGAAAAAACAGAATATGGATTGAATAAGGGAACTTTGATTGCAAATACCGTATATACTCGAGTATAAGTCGACCCGAGTATAAGCCGAGGGACCGATTTTCCCACAGAGAACTGGGAAAAATTGGTGACCTGCGCATAAGCCGAGGGGGCATTTTGGCTGTTCCTCCCTGGCCGCTGCCCCACCCCCGCCGCCNCCCCCGCCGCCGCCGCCGCTGACTCGAGTATAAGCCGAGGGGGGCATTTTTCAGCCCCAAAAATGGGCTGAAAAACTCGGCTTATACTCGAGTATATACGGTACATCTGTGATATGTTTTGGCTAGAGAACATATTATAAACTGATATTATTGACATTATGTATAACATTAGAAAAATGTGATGAAGATGTTTATATTTTATTGTATAGGTATTAATAGCAGTAAGAATTGTATTTGCCTAGTGTGGAAAAAGGATTATTATTGGAAGAAGAGAGGACCAGGGAAATATTGGATGGTGTAGTATTGGATATTTTGAGTGAAAGTTAATATGTACCATTGAATGATAAAGGAACCCAGACACCACATTGTTTATTAAGTACTTATGATTGTAAAACTTGAAATTAATAAAATATTTTCAAAAAGAAAAAGAAATCCAAAAAGAAACCAACATAATAGTATAAAAAATGGAAAGAGGGACACATATCTAAAGCAGAATACCAGCATATAGTCCAAAACTGCAAAGGTAAAGTCAGGAAAGCTAAGGCTCAAATGTCAAAAATAATTAAAAAAAGTTTTTTGCAACATGTAAAAAACAAGAAAAAAGTCAAGGAAACAATTGGTCCACTAATGGGAGAAGATGGCAAGGAAGTGATGAGCAACAGTGAGAAAGTAGAACTGCTGGACTGGAAAAAGTGCTGATGTAGTTCCAATCTTCAAAAAAGGCAAAAAGAATATATGCAGGAAACTACAGAACTATTAGCCTTACATCAATACCTGGGAAGATTCTGGAAAATATAATCAAACAATGAATCTATGAACACTTAGAGGCAAACAAAGTCATAACCAGAAGCCAAAATGGATTTGTCAAAAACAGATCATGCCATACAAATCTTATTTCATTCTTTGACAAAGTGACTAAATTAGTGGACAGCGAAATGCTGTGGACATAGTATACTTAGATTTCAGTAAGACATTTGACAAAAGTGACCACAACCTACTTCTTGGTAAGTTAGAAAAATGTGGTATAGACCAGAGTTCCCCAACCTTTCGGGGTTGGCTGCCTGGAGCGGGAGGAGGGGGAAAAGAAGGAATGATTTTGTGGGGGAGTGAACACAAGCACGTGGGGTGAACACAAGCATGTGTGGGGCCGTGAACACTCCTGCGACTGGGGCTGCAAATGTCCGTGATGTTTTTGCAAATGGGGCCACGAACACCCTTGATGCTCACACAAATGGGACCGCGAAAGCCCACAACGCTTATGGCAATGCTCGTATGAATGGAGCTGTGAACGCCTGCAATGCTCCCACAATGGGGTTGCAAACACCTGCAACACTCGTGGCAACACTTGCATGAATGGGGCTGCGATGCTCACAGCGACACTCATGCAAGTGGGGCTGGGAATACCAGAGACACTCACATGAGTGGGGCTACAAATACCAGCAATGTTCGCATGAGTGGGGCTGCCAAACTGCACTCAATGTTTAGTCCTTAATGGAACTACATCTACATGGAGGGAAATAAGAAGTGAGATACCCCAAGGTTCTGTCTTAGGCCCAGTATTCTTCAATTTCTTCATAAATGATTTAGATGAGGGGATAGAAGGGAAACTCATCAAATCTGCAGATGACATCAAGCTGTCAGGAATAGTCTTCATTCCAGAAGATAGGCTCAAGATTCAGAAGGATCTTGACAAACTTGAACATTGGGCCCTATCTAACAAAATGAAATTCAATGGTGAGAAAAATAAGGTTTTACACTTAAGCAAGAAAAGAACAAATGTAGAAGTATAGAATTGGTGGTATCTGGCTCAATAGCAGCAGAGAGATCTTGGAGTCATAGTGGGCAGTTACTTAAATTTGAGCCAGCAGTGTGCTGCAGCTGCCAAAAAAGCCAATGCAATCTTAGGCTGCATTAACAGAGGGATAGAATCAAGATCACGTGAAGTGTTAGTACCACTTTATAAGGCTTTGGTAATATAATGCCTTGGAATATTGCATCCAGTTTTGGTCGCCCCATATAAAAAAGATGTTGGAAAGAGTGCAGAGAACAAAGATGTTTAGTGAGCTGGAGGCTAAAACATATGAAGAATGGTTGCAGGAATTGGGCATGTCTAGTCTAGAGAAAAGAAGGGGTAGGATGACATGATAGCAGTGTTTTAATATTTGAAGCACTGGCACAAACAAGAGGGGGTCAACCTATTTTCCAAAGCACCAGAAAGCAGGACAAGAAGCAATGAATGGAAATCAATCAAGGAGAGAACCAACCTAGAACTGAGGAGAACATTCCTGACAGTAAGAACAATTAACCAGTGGAACAGCTTACCTTTAGAAGTTGTGGGTGCTCTATCACTGGAAGTTTTTAGGAAGAGATTGGACAGCCATTTGTCCAGAATGGTATAGGGTCTCCTGCTTGTGCAGGGGGTTGGACTAGAAGACCTTCAAAGTCCCTTCCAACTCTGTCATTCTGTTATTCCTCCTCTTCTTTCTCATCCCCCTTCCCAATCTCCTTATCTAGAAAGCTAAAATCTGTGAAGGAATAATTGCACAGCATCCTAAATAGTAATTAAAAAATGCATATTTCTATTCATTAAAGACAGAAAAGAAAAGAAGCTGCTACTTTACACAGCTGCACCTTATATCTCCCACCCTCAGCACAAAGATGGACTATTTTAATGGGTAGCACAGAGGGGCTGCACTCATGTAAAATTTAAAACAATTCTTTTTAACCCTTTATGTCAGACATGTCAAACTCGCGACGTCACATGTCATCGGGCAATGTATCGGGCCAGTTTTGCCATTGCCGGCAATGGGGTGGGTGCGGCTTCAGTATGATGAAACCGGCCCACGGGCCAGCTGCTTGACTCCCCTGCTTTATGTAGCTTTGACCCCTGTATGTCACCTGCCATTTTAAAACTAGAAATATCAAGTCTTGAAGAACCTGAGATAGTTCTGTGCTATCTCCTATTCACAGTGGAGATGGAGATCCAATGGAAATGATGTCGCCCTGCAAAGCCAAGAGGTTGCAAGAGATGAGATCAATGAATTGTAGCTCTAGCTATCTTCTTATTTCATTCTGAAAAGACTAAAGCAAATGAAGTAAAATGTAATTCTATCATATCTAACCTGACAGAAAACTGTATCTTATTAATAGTAATTTTGTAGATATAGTAGTGGACAAATAAAACACTGGTTTGAGGGAAATTGGATTAATATTTAAGAGCTTTTTCAGTAAACATTCAAAATAATTATTTAAAAAATTGTATTCATAATTGTAATGCTTGTCCATGTCCTTTTATGTATGCACAGCAAAATTGAGATTGCTTTTATGTATTCATCTCTATAATCTCAAAGTGGTTGAGAAGCCATCTAGAAACTAAATCCCTCTCAGGGAAACACTTAGGGGAAAGGGAACACGTAGTTACTTCATGTATTTATGGGGGTAGGCTTTTGCTTCTAGTTCTGCTTAGAAATGTGCATTTTTGCTTCATTACTTATTATTTGTTATATGCAGCAAAATTGTAGGCATGCTCATTTATTAATAAATCCCTCCAAGCTCGATGAGCCTTCTTGTGTATTTAATGTTTTAGCTTTGTTATACTTCCCTTGAAGTATTTTTTTTATTTTACCAGATGTCCTTTAATTCTAGTCCAACAGCTTATAAAAGGAAGTTTTAATTCAAAGTAATGCTTTCTGTCTGATAATGCAGTCCTTAATTTAGATACTTAGCTTTTGCTCTTAAACCTCAGGTATAGTAAAGAATATGGCATCCCACATTTAAAACTGACACTCTTAAATAAGTGAGAAATGGAGTCACTGAAGGCATTGTTGTCCCATTCCACTCAACTGATTCTGTCCTTAAGAGGTGGCTTTTCTTCCACATAAACCTCCAATTGTTGAATAATGCTTGGTTAGATAAAATTATTGTCCAAAGTGTACCTTCTTGTTTGATACCTTCTCAAGCTTTGATGCTTCCCCATAAGGACTCTAGGTTCAGTTCTTGGAGGTACATCTGGTGTTCTAGTAATTGTAGAGCAGAATTGTACCATGTAAGGCTGTCCTAATTAGAATGCTGAAAAAAGATGGAAAAAGCCATTGGAGTGACTTAATTCTGTGAAAATCTGATTCCTTAGAGTAATGCGTGAGTTCTTAAGAACTTTACTGTGTTTTCTGCTGTTGTTTTACAAAATCATTTTATTTTTCCTTCAAAGAAAAGTTTTAATATATGTTTTTCCTCCCTGCTTCTTTTTGATACAGAAATCTTAAATGGAGGAGTATATGTTGGCCAGAACAGATTTCTTTGCTATGCAGATACCATTCAGTGGGAAGATATTGTTCGCAACTCTTTGGCTTCCAATTTCTCTGTGGTTCCAAAAAACAGTAGTACAGACTGTAAGTATGGGCTTTGGGATCAGTACTGTAATTTTGTTAACAATGACCTTGGTTTATATTTGTAATTATTTTTTCCTTCTTCTGACAACTCTACTATGTTATTTTTTATATGTTTCTATAGCATTTATGTGTTAATATATGTGTTAACGTATATCTCATATCTAACATAAAATATATTATACTATAACTAAATATATTATATATTATGTTATCTAAAAATCTAAATTATATTTAGCATATACTGTTCTTTATATCTAACAAAAAGGTGTTTTTACATGGAAGATTTAAAGTCCACTTCACTTCCACTCTTTCAAATGATAGTAATAGTAACTGTGGTTAAAATTACTGCCCAATTGCTTAATAGTAGTCAAAAATGGAGAAGGAATGTACAGTACTTCCTTGGACTATTGGTTAAAAAGATGGGATAAATTAAATAAAGGAAGAAAAACAATATTTTTTTGAAAGAACAGCTTACGTATCACTAATATTTTTAACTAATCTCTAAAAAAATGAACAACTAAGATTAATTTCAGTACATTTCAGTTACAGCGAGAAATAAAGGAAATAAAAGGGGGGGAAAGAATTTCTTTAAAAATCCTCTTCATTGCTTTGTATAAATGAATATATTCAAACATTACAATGTTAAAGTTTTTTTTAAGATGTAGATTCCCTCTCTACTAATTCTCTTTAATTGTATCTCCATGTACAAAATATCCATAATTCTTGGAAAGTTGATAAATTCCATTAAAGAGGATATATCTTTAAAAATATGTAGAAAACCTAGGCAATAATACTGGGGAGCTGCCTTGATATCAGTCTCCCCTTCTTCCCCTCCCCCCCAAAACAGGCTTCAAATACATGAATTAACATTTCGTCAAAAAAGATTATAATAATAAAAATACATGCATATGCAAGTAACAATGGTATAATGGTATGTTGGAATTTTATATATATTTATTCATAAGATCATTCTTTCCAGATTGTTTGTGTTTGTGTTTGTGTGTGCAAATATTATGCTTTTTTTAATCTGAGAACCACATCAGAAAAATAGAACTATAACATCTAAATGATCTTTTTATTATGATCTACGTAGTAACCAGATCAATTTATATAGAATGCTGAAATGAAGATCTCAGTTACCCTGTCAGAAATGCAACAAAATTCATTGAGAATTTTTTGTTTTTATGTATGTAATGTTTCAAAGGACTATGTTTTATGATCTCCATCACAGAAACTAGGCAATTGAATTAGTTGAACACTGTAAGAATCTGAAAGCTCTCATTTGAAGCAGATCTCTGTAGGATTGCTCTGAAGGATTCACTTATGTATCCAGACCTTTCTTGCTCTTCCCCGTCCTTGTCTAAATAAGTCCTTGCCTGGGCTGATTTGTCTTGATTATATAAACATACAGCACTGGGGGAGGGGGAACTGTGTAGTTTCATAATCCATACAACAAGAATTGCATCTGATAGAGAAAGATGAGAATAGTTTTTTGGCTTTAAAAATTAACCTTTCATTTAGTTGACATGATTTAGTGAAGCATTGCTATGAGGAAAGCAAAGTTTGGTGTGTTATTTTTTGGTGCTTGTGAGTGCAGCTTTCAGTTATATAAAACTCTATTCCTTTTTTCTTGCTGACAACAAGAGGCAGTCTTATCTTGGATTTTCATAATTACAGAAATCATGAAAGTCATGCCTACAAACTATACTGAAATGCAAGGTTCTTTTCCAGACTTATCAGACTTATATATTCATGAAATGGAAAGTTTCATTAAGGAGTTTATATTCAATCCTGCTATGTACATAATTTGATTGATTGATTGATTACTCAGGTTGATATACCACTTTAGCCACAATGCAGTGTATATCAAATTTGGTAAATAGATTAAAATAATACAATAACAAATTATGTTATGTTATATAAATAACTTAAAGTCATACTAAGCTGAGAAATAGCATACCAAAATCATCATGTAATCATGATGGTGCTGTTATCATGTGATTAATCAATTACTGCAGAGGAGATGTCACAACTCAAATCATTCCCACAAAACTTCCTGAAATAGCCAGGCCTTGATGCTTCCCTAAACACCATCATATTGGTGCTGATCTAATCTGGGGAAGCAAGAAGGAATGCTATTACAAAGAAGGAAGCAGCAATGACAAGATGGCCTTTACGGTAACTCCTACCATACAAGCTTCTAATTGCTTTAGAATGGAGCACCCACAACTCTGAGAAACAAGCTATACCATTGGTTAATTATTCTCGCTATTAGGAAATTTCTCTTTAGTTCTAGGTTGGATCTCTCTTTAACCAGCTTCCACCCATTACTTCCTGTCATGCCATCTGGTGCTTTGAAGAATAAGTTGAACCCCCTCTTCCCTGTGACAGCCTTTCAAATACTATCATGTTACCTCAATCCTTCTCTTTGATAGACTAGACATATCTAGCTCCTTCAACTGTTCATTATTTGATTTAGCCTCCAGATCCTATATCATCTTTGTTGCTCTTCTCTGCATATTTTCTAGGGTCTCAGCATCTTTTTTGTATTGTGGTGATCATAATTGGATGCTGTATTCCAGGTGTGGTCTCACTAGTGTGGTATAAAGTGATATTATCACTTCTTGTGATCTTGCTGCTATCCCGCTGTTGATGCAGCTTTGCTATGCATTGTATGATCCACTAAGACACCTAGATCCCTCTATTATTTTTCTCACCATTGAACTGTATCTTGTTGGATAGGGCCCAGTGCTCAGGTCTGTCAAGATCCTTCTGAATCTTGAGCCTATCTTCCAAAGAGTTAGCAATTCCCCCTAGCTTAGTTTCATATAAATACGAGTTTCCCCTTCTATCCCCTCATCTAGATAATTTATGAAGATGTTGAAGAGCCCAAGACAAAACCTTGAGCCCAAGACAAAGCCCACTGCATGCTTTCTTCCATGTGGATGTAGTTCTATTGAGGACACACGCTAGGTGCAGCTAACTGTGAATCCATCTGATGGTGGTACTGTCTATTCCTCATTGTTCTATAAGAAGCAGGCTGTGGTCTAATTTGTCAAATATATTATTAAAGTCTAAGTATATTATATCCATAGCATTTCCCTGATCCACTAATTCAGGCAAACTCTTTATCAAGAAGGCAATAAGATTTCTCTGGGTTTAGTTCCTTGATCATTGTCATAGCCTTACACTCAATCTATTCCAGTTCTTCTTATGATAGTATGTGTGGTTCTCAATCACACAAAATAAAGGAGAGTGAATACTTTCCTTGATTTGAAAATTATATTGCTGTTGATGTAATCTAAAACTGCATTTCCTTTTTTGCAGCCACATCATCTTGCTAACTTCTTTTTTTTTTTAATTTTTTTTTTCACCATATACCATACACCAAAACTACATAAACATAAATCTTTTCTTCTAACAGAACAGTGCTTTACATTTTAAATGTTCTTTACATCTTATTTACATTTTATATACATCAATAATTATATCTTTTTCTTTCTCTGTTCTAGCCAATTATAACATTTATTCCAAATTTCATAAAATTCTGACGTCTCCCTATCTTTTAGTTCTAACGTAAGTTTGTTAATTTCTGCGCATTCCAAAATTTTATATATAATCATATCATTTGTGGGAATATTTTCACTCTTCCAACATTGCGCATATGCTATACGAGCTGCAGTCAATATGTGTATAATGATGTGTTGGAGTTGTTTTTCCATCTTTAAATTTATTATGCCCAAAAGAAATATTTCTGGTTTGAAATCCATTTGTATCTCAGTTATCT